TTCCCCCTTCCCACCGTTTCCAGCCACAATTTTTGCTCTTGGGCAGTTTTACACAACCATATCTAACCAGCGCGCTTAGCCCGGAGTGTGAAGTTCCTCTCAGTGGCCACTGGACCACTGCAAAAACCCGGCACGCTGAGCCTTGACTACACCGAAAGATCGTCACCAGCTCACAGCGAAAGACTGAGGACGATCCCACGTTGCAGCGCCTCCCCTGCCCGCTCACCGGTGGCTAAGGTACATCAATTTGTAACTCAAGGACTTGCAGCTGTGTGCAATTGCTCTTGGAAAGCATCCTGCTTATCACTTCCCTTGCCTCCTGGGGTTGGATTCTGGGGTCGGATACGGGTTTGGGAGGGAAGTTATCTCTGAGACTCCTGGTTGCAATTCTTTCCTGATTCTGAGCAAAGACCAACAGCCTGGTTTGATTTGGCTCAGAGTGTGGTAAAACCCAGTCTCTGGATTTATTAACCCAAAAGGGCCTGTACAGAGCATAGATCATAAAACGTTTCTTTTTCTGCTGACTTAACCATCTGTGCACACACTAAAGGTTCACACAACTTGCTGGACTAAAACTTGGTTGATTTTGTGCTTCAGTGTGTTGCTGTTAGATGAATGGCCACTGGGTAATTAGGGTTAGCAATGGGGTCAGAAAAACAATTCTGATGAATAGTTTAACATCATTTATGCTGGTCTGTGACTAATAAAGATTTGACTTGATTAGTTTTAACAGTATTTTATCTATAAAAGGCACAATATGTGGTTCACTGGCCCCTTGGCACATTGGCGTACTTCGATTAGAAACCAAGAATTTTACTGCTGTGAAGTCACCCAGCTGGTTTAGAATGTCATTTTGCAATCCAAAGGTATTTCTTGAAAAGTAGGTGATGCTGGAGGCTGATGTTTTGCATTGGAACAGGCCACCTCCCCACTTAAAAAAAATTAAAGAGATATTTATTTTTATTTAAATATCAGGAAGCTTTGTGGGTACCAAAGGCAATCTATGGGCACAGTGACACTAGATGCTATTGTGGAGGCTTCAGCATTAAATGGACGAACCTTCTATGATATCAGTATGAGAGAATATACACAACCAGCTTGCATAGACAGTCTCTCCTTCAACATGATGTCACCAGAATTACAACATATTTGAAATATTTCATATTTTAGCCATACTTAACTGGTTTATTGAATAAATCCCAAATGACTAGATCTATTCAGTATGCTAAATCATAAGCCAAGTTTTACGAGTACAAATACGTTTTGTTTGATTGTGCTTAGTATGTCGTGAACCAATTCAACGTGTACAGAAGAGAGAAATCAGCTACTGTAGAAAGAAACAGAATTCTACAATTATTGCAATGTTTACTAAAGCAAAACTTCTAAAAGTGTGGATTTCAGTGAAACAATCTCCATTTCAAAGAAAAGTAAAGGTCATTACATGTGGCTCAATATTATTCATGAACAGCAGGGTCTGTGGGTAAGTGTCAAGGTGGCTGAGGCTGGCAAAAGCAACCTCATGATGCAAGCCAAGCCCACCCCCAACATTCATGCATGACCCAATGGACAGAGCTTGTGGTACAACATCACCAACACTGATGACAAAGCATGAAAACCCTCAAAATATTGCTATTTGTGCAGTGGTTCTCTAACGAGAACTTGGATTTTTCTTTGATTCCAAATTTCTAAGTGCCAACCTTAATTCGTCTCATTATAAAACCATACATTTACTATCCCCCATATCAAAAAAAGCAAATTGCTAAAATGTACAATAATATTATTGGTGGGGTTTTTTTTGTAGAACAGTTACTATTCCTGTCCTGGTAATTTAGGTGGTTAGTAGGTACTGTAATAGTATCAGGTGATTTTATACTCAAACTTGATCAGACTGGAAAAGAAAAGAGCTTTGCTGCTATGGCAACATGCTTGAATTGCTACTTGCATGATATGCTTTGAAGAGTGGGAAATGCTCTTGAGTTGGAGACAGCATAAAAACAAACATCCATTGTGCCAATGATGCTTTTACTAAGAAAGCAAGATTTAATGCAATTCTAGAATCAATGCAATCCTATGCATGTTTATTCTGGAATCAGTCCTGTTATGTCACAGACATGGCCTTTCTCCACTGCTGAGTTATCCAGCCTTCCCTTGTGTTGCCAAAGATCTATTTGTTGTCCCCACTGACAATCTTATCCTACCTCTATTATCTTTACAGGTGCCTTCCATCATTCTAAGAAAAGTCAAGTAGATTTTTTACATGTTGAAACCTTTTTTATATGTTGAAGCTGTTTTCCAGTAGTATAACACTAGCGGGGGAGGCTACTACTTTAAAACTGGTACAGCTAAGAAAAACTTAAAGATGCCACACTCATGGAGCATCAATGAAATAAAAGAATACTGGGAATTGGGGAGAGGGAGTATGGCATTTTCACAGAATATTTGTGCTGTGGTTTCTATAGATCTAAATAGGAAAAGGCCCTTTGGAGCAGATAAGAGTGTGCTGGTTGTGGGAGGATATCTATGGCTCTTCAGATGTTGCTATAAAGCAACATTTTTCAGGCTCAGCAATTTTAAAATGTGTGCGTTTCAACTCCTACAACAACTGGCCAGGGAATTTTGGGAGTTGAAGTCATTAAAGTTGCTGAGGCTGAAAAATACAGATATATAATATTCTAATTCCCATTATACCCTACAGAACAAGGATCCTAAGAAAAATATTTGTATTTTGAGGAAGGAAAATATATTTATTATGGTATAAATAATATTTAATAAATAATATTTATAGGCCGCCTATCTTACCTTGAGATAACTCTATGCAGCTTACAATAATAAAAAAATCAAAATTATATAAACTATAAACTAAATGTATAAATATGATAGGACAAAATCAAATAATCCTGTTTCTTGCTAGGGAGTTTTAACCTCAAATATTTGGTGGAGAGGTAGATCTTCTCCCCCCAACTGGAATGGCTGTTGCAGGGCTCAGTGTTTATCTGCCTGTTTCTTATAAGTCTGTACTGCTTTAGCTAGTGATTTTTAAACGTTCTCCCAAGTTGCTTTCAGCATTGACATCCAATCGGACTGATAAGGGGGAATCCCTTGGATATTCAGGCATTGGGAAGAAGTTCATACCGCTCACTACTTTGAAGGGGGTTAGTCCCGTGCTACTGTGAACAGCATTATTGTTCGGACCTCCACGAAAGGCAGGAGGTCCACCCAACTGGACTGCTGATAATTCACATAGCACTTCAGATACTGCTCTACCATGGTGTTCAGTCTCTCTGCCCCGCCCCCATTGGTGCTTGGATGAAAAGCTGAGCTAAGGCCCTGGAACGACCCAAAAGACCACAAGAATTCCCTCCAGAACTTGACCATGAACTAGACGTTGACAGTTTATGCATTATTTTATGTTGTATATAAAGCTGACATAATTTGCGTATAACAGACTGTGAGAAAGTTTTGTTCCTGTCAAGCTTTGCAAACTTTAGTGCTACAGTTGATGTAGGAAAGTAAGTATGAGCTTGATTTGGGAGAAAGGGTTGCCTAGCAACTATAGAAGTATTGCTTGATCTCTTTATTATGGCCTTGCCTTCCATCTACGCTAACTTTGAATTGTTTACTGGAACTGGTATACTAATGTTACCTTTTCTGTTACAGGCATTGGAGAGATTTTAATGAAGTCTCATCTTTTAGATTGTTAGCAATATTGTTTTGGAATGCTCAGTGGAAAAGCCAGGCTTGGAGGGGAGGAAACTAGATTACAACCAAGATAAATTAAATCCTATAGAGAACATGAAACTTTGGATTTCACCTAAGATAGAATTTGATCAACTGTGCCTTGGAGTATGTCCAGTTGGAGCCATTCTAGAACAGCTGTGAGCATCATCAGAAGAGATTACTGGCAAGGAGCCTCTGTAGCAGCTGGCTGGAATGTGTAACCTCTTTTGATCTTTTTCTTCAGGGAATAGGTAAATTTTTATATTTTTGTTCACATTGGATGTTTCATTCTAGGTTCAAGATCTGTAGTTGTTTTTAAGGCATTTTACTTATCAGATCTGATTAGGTATGCTCTTCAAACAACACTAGAAATAATTAAGCCCAGAACATTCAGAATAGAAATAATCATGTTTTGGGCAGGTAGAATTAAACATTTTTGGAAGGCATAGTCCTTCCGTACTTATTGTATATTGAAAAAGTCTGGGAGGATTTATTGCTTTCAGTATACTAAGCCTGTTAGCCTCACGGCGCACTTTTTCTGCAATTCCCAACTCAAAAAGGTAAAGAATGTCTAGTGGCTACTATGATTGCAGTGGATTCTGGGACTCAGAAGAAGCTTCATTCAGCACTAAATCAACAAATACCTTTCAACTGACATACTGTCTCCAGTAAGTGTTATTTAAATAAATGTCTCCTGTTTTTATTACTTGGGGGAGGGTGTTCCTAGCCAGACTCACTCACTGCCTGCATTGCCATTTCACAGCAACAGTACTCAAGAACAGAATTTCCTTATTGTAAATTACTCCTTCCTGTTTCACCCATCTTGTCCTCCATGTTTGTGTCCTAGCCTATCAGATGAGATATTTTTGGATAAAGGATTAGCAGTCTTTCAGAAGAATACTAAACTCATGTTCAGAAGTAGCCTGACTGTAGTAGCAAGAGTAGAATACCTCCATTCCTGGGACCCACTTAAGAAGTGGCTAATCCAGTCATTTTAAACACCCACCAAAACTCACCCATCCCTGATCCACTATACATGAAGAACAACTAATGGCTGTTCTTCACACAGGTAGATTATACTGACACTGGAGGGGAAATGAATGTGGGAGAATCCATCTTAATTTGTTCCTTTTTAAAACAGGACAGCATCATTCATTCATCAGGCTGAGTTCTGTGATAGAAAAGGGTTAGCAAGGAGAGAAGTATAGATTATGGTGATATGCTTTTCTCCTGGGTCACAGACAATAACTATATTTATATAGATAATAAGTAACAAATCTTAAAGACAATTCCAAAATGAAGCCAGAGACCTTTTTACAAATGAATGCCAGAATGTCAGACTTGCAGGTTTAAAATATTATGATCTATATATAACATCCTTTCCGCATGTTAGTAGGAGCAGGAGTAGAAGCAATTAAAGGCTAACATACTAGCATTTATTTTGCATAAACTAAAACTTATGTGATGTAGAAAATATTATCATATCGTAATTGACACTTGTAAACAAAACATTTTCTGTTATTTTACAAAGTGAGTCACATCATTTTAAAAAGCATGAATGAAATTGAAATCCATTCACAATTACAGATTAACTAAAGCATTTTATCCCAATCTAAGGACCTTCATATATGGGGAACTGTAAATCCCGGCATTTTCATGTTGTCTAGTGATGATGGGAGTTATGTTCCATATATTCAGAGAACACCAGGCTGCAACAATGAAGTACATTAAGCCATTATTTTGTTACTTAATAAGTCACAACTGGCTGGGATTTTATGCCTAGTCACAAACCCTATATGCATAACACCCCAAGTCAAAATGAGACATCCACCGTACAGTCTGGTCTGAGATATAAAGCCTATCTCCCGAGTATACTTTAGTGAATAACTAATTGGCAGAACAAGTTGAATGAACAATTATACAACCGTGAGGTAGTCATTTTCAGATTCCAATGAACTTAATTGTACACATTGAATCTATAAATGGACTCCCAGATTCACAAAGAAATTCCCCTTGAAACTTCTGGAAGGTAAGTTGGCTTTAAGTTTTAAATTCCCTGCAGAATATACATGCACCATCAAATAGTGGATCAAAACTTTCTTTACAGATTTCATTTTATTCTTTATTTAAAAAACTAAAACACTTTATGTATGAAAATGTAGTTTATAAGAGTGTAAGTAAATATCAAGAACAGGAAACAATTTAGTAGTTGTGCTTTTCCCCACTGGCATCTAAACCAATTGTCTGAAAGAGAACAAGGAAATTGCTGTAGCATAGCAACTATGATGTTAGCAAGCATTGAAATAGTATCATTAGCTACAACAGCACTCTCAGTATCTGTATGATTTGAAAGGAAATAAATCCATTTCCCACTAAGGCAGAACTGTAATTAGCAAACATGATTTTTTTTCTTCATAAGAGATAATGTACATAAGAACCACTCCACCATGCCAAATAATTACAACAATGACAGAATTACTGAGATGGGTTCCTTTTTTAAAATGACAAAGCTAAAGTCTGGATTCCAGCTCTTTGTGCTTTTAAGAGAAAATGGCTCCAGTAGAAAATGCAAGTCATTGTGCTCCCTCAATGATTTCAGCCAATGCTCCCAGCCGTTTTGTACAGCTTTTATTCTTTCCTTTGGCCATACTTATTTTCTTATTATTATGTGCATGATTATTTGTCACTTCCATTCTGTATGGATCAACTACATACAAATTTGTGATGATACGGTATTCAATAAACTAAAAATGCAATCATAAGTAAAAGGTAAGTGCAGGAGTAAATAAAAAAATACATGGCCTTCTTGATCTTGCTAAGCTACAACTTCTAGGAAACTGCCAGGATGACCACACAGATAGGATACTGAACACTACAATTCAGAAGTATCTTGAAAGACATAGATTCCCTAGTTCTGGAATGAAAGAATAACTCCATTAATTTGTAAGTGCTTATTTTATCATGGGTGTGTGTGTGGTGTTTTATGGTTTTAAATTGTTAAAGTTGATATTTGGAAGACTGTTCTGAATGTAAATTTGTTCTATTAATCTGTTCTAGAAGTTTCCTCCTGCAAAAATGCCACTAGGTAAATAATGGCAAACATTTATTAGGGTTTTTTTGTACCTGTTTGCTACCATCCAGGATTAATATGTATTTTAATAATAAGCCTCATAACAAGCTCAGTTTTTCTTCTGTGTACAATACAGTATGCTTCTACTAATGGTGGCATTTCTATCTATTTTCATCAGATAGAAAAATAGGGAGTCAGATTTTTCTTCTTATTCAGTGTTGACCCCAGTATTATGAGGAAACCTGATATCCTTTTGAAGCAAATGTATTGGGCATATGTAAGTAAAGGAGGGTGGAGATCAGGATGAAGTTCTTTGTACAATTTTATACTAGTTGAACATAAAATTGTTTAGTCTCTATGTGTTCCTACTGCAGTCCTTGGTGTTCTTTTTGTTTTGATGGTGTTTCAAAATAGAACTGAACATTCCCCTAAGATTTCAGAGGACTCATCTGGGAATGATGTTGTTAAGAAATCAGACCAGTGGGTTCTATTGCTGTGAATCATTCAGAAAATTTGATTTGAAGAAAAGTTGCACGTAAGAGCCGTTGCTTGCTTTGTTTTGCTTTACGGGATGTTTGTAGAATAGGGACCAATTTATGTTCTTAAGAGCGGGAAACATCTTATTAGAACCATCAAGAGATATTTTTGTTATATAATTGAGAGTAGAATCTTAAGCTGCTACTTATTGGAAGAGGTTATAATACCAGATATTGCATTAAGGTTGTTATATAGGAAGGGATGCAATGGCTGGACTTATCAGCTGGGAAGCTGACAGCCTGGGTTCAAGAGCTGAATACGATGCAATGGGATGAGCTCCTTTCTTTGCCCCAACTTCTGCCTACCTAACAGTTTGAAAACATGGAAATGTGAGTAAATTAATAGGTACCACTTCAGTGGAAAGGTAAGAGCATTCTGTGTGCCTTCGGCATATAGCCATGCTGGCCACATGATGATGGAAAATGTATTTGGACAATGTTAGCTCCCTCGGCCAAGACGAGTATCATGCCCTAGAGAGGTGATGGCGGTGATGGCGGTGATGGCGAACCTATGGCATGTGTGCTGGAAGTGACACACAGAGCCATTTCTGCTGGCACACAAGCCATCACCTGAAACTGATGCACTGTGCATGCACGCACGCCCCCCACCAGCCAACTAATTGTCAGGTATCTGCCACGCCTACGCGGGGGGAGACGCTGTGCAGGAGACACACGCACATGCACAGGGGGAAGGGCATATGGGGAGGTCGAGCAGGGGGTCTCATGCACATGCACAGAGGCACGCGGTGCACACATGGGGTCACGTATGCATGTGCAGGGGGCGGGGGGTATCACGCGCACTTTGCATTATGGGTGCAGGCACGCATGTGTGCGCACGCACACACACACACACTTTCAGCACACAACGACTAAAAGGTTAGCCATCACTGCCCTAGAGTCAGACATGACTGGACAGGGAAACTTTTAGCTTTTTATAACAACAGAGGCTTAATTGTATTGTGTTTGTATAGAAAAGAAACAAGTAAATCATGCTATGGTTGCAAATACAATAAGAATGAAGGTTAATTAAAACTTTGGTATGATTTACCCTTCACATATGAGACTTTGTAATAGTATTTTTGTGAAAGTATTTTTGAAAATCTGTATTATTTGGAGCTACTGTATTTTTATGGAAATTGAAGGAGGAATAATGAAATAATGGCTTTGTCACTAGGTGAGAGATTTGTCATTCAGTTGCTTAAAGACAATTTTTTGGGCTCAATTACATGATGAATTAAAGATCTGATATTAATTGTGATTTACAAAAATGCTTTTGGAAAGTTGTATAGAAAATTATAATGAAATATGATAATTTTTTATTAAAATGTTAATATTACGCACTCAGACACATGTATGTGATGCCCCCTAATTTTTTTCTTTTCTGTTTAATTGAATAAAAGCATAATAATAAAGGCATTACAATAAAAATGCTAGAAAAGTCTATTTTGTCTTATTTTTCAAAACAAAAGTACATTTAAAACCAAATGACATATTTAAAATGTTGGTAGGTGGTCATATACTACCACTAATAATAGTAATACTAACTTACTTATTCAAGCACTACCATTAGTGATTGGTTGATTATGTGCCATCAAGTTTGGTGTCAATTTTCAGCAACCACACAGATTTTCTCCATCACGTTCTGTCTCTAACTCAGTCCTTCAGGTTAATGGTTCATTCATTCATCATCAGGGTAATTAAGTTCATCCATCATACTGTTGGTCCTCTTCTTTTTCTCTTTTCTTCCACCTTTCACTGCCTCAGAGGCTTCTCCAGAGAACTAGGGCTTCACATAATGTATCCAAAGTATGATAATTTGACCCTGATCATTCGTATTTTGAGTGAGAACTCTGAGTTGATTTTTTTCTACGATCCATCAGTTTGTTTCCTTAGCTGTATATAATATTTAGAAATCTTCTCAACACCAAAAGCATTAATAGTCTTTCTACCTTGCTTCATCGAAGTCCAACTTTTACTTCCATAGAATGTCACAAGGAATATTATGCTTGCATTTATATGATTTTTGTAGGTATAGATGCAATTCACAGCATCTAAATGTCTTTTCCAAGGGCTTCCTGAATTTTCTACCAACTGCTAGTTTGGAGAATATTTCTTGACAGCTTGTTCCCTTATTAACAGCTGATCCTAAAAGGCTGAAGATATTTACTACTTTGATATCTTCATTATACATTTTAAGCTAAGTTGTACCTGTAATCATTAGTTCGGTTGCCTTTAATTTTAGTCTCATTTTCTCACTGTGCTCCTTGAGTTTTCTTACTACGGTAGAACCTGTCAATCCTTTGTATGTTCTGCTATCAGTGTGTACGATTATTAACACCAACCAAATTTGCCAAAAACTATAGCCAAAGTTCATGTTCACTATTTTTTTTTCAATAGATAGGAAAGAGAAGGAGGAAATGAGCAACAAGATCTTTGAGCAATAGGTTTTAAAATTCAATAGAAGAGTGAGTACTGCTTTAAGTGAATTGGGCTAGAATTGTCTACCTTTTCATTCTTTTTTTAAAAGCTCAGTACATTTTACATGTTTGGGAGTGTGAAATATCAAGTGTGTTGTGGACTGTCAAATAATGGTTACCACAATAAGTGTTTTTAGTTTCAAAACATTAACTTCAGCCAAAAGCCAACTGGTGATCTCAGAGATAAGCAACCTGCCGAGATTCAAAATATCAAATTACATATTTGTCCCATACAGTATACGAAAACACAGCTTAATAGAAATCAGACTGAGGATACTTAGAATACCCCATCCATTATATTTCAAAACAAATGCAATATTATCACTGGTGTCCATTGGTGGGCGAGATGGGTAGTCAAAAAGTCCAGATACCAATCTGTGCAGTTGAAGCCCTGCACTTTTTTACCTGTGTATGCATAGACAAAAAAGGGGGGGTCATTATATGGTCACAATTGTTATTTCACCTTTGACACACAATCCCCAACCTGTTGCAACTAAATATTTTTTCTTATTTATCAAGTGAAAGCTACCAGTTCAAATGCACCTTAAAAAAATGGTTAAAATACAATTCCAGCAATAATCTGCAATTAGAATTAAATTATGCATAAACTAGTTATCAAAAGACAGTGACCTTCTAAAAATGTGTTGCTTCATTTTACATCAAATGAATCTTTTATAAAGGCTGAACTAGACCATTGTTGTTTTTCAGGCAAAAAGAAAGCTCTAGAATCTAGATCCTTTTTCACTGAGACAACATTGGGTTGCTGTCAAGAAAAACTATAGTTTTCAGAAAGAAAATGAAAACAGAGATAGAGCAAAGTAATTTCTTGAGAACATAAGCTGATCATCCAAATTTTATAGGAAATCAGTAATAGATGGACTTGCATACAAGGAAATCCTTGCAGAAGTAGTAAACAAGTTTTATGTAGTTGAACAAATGATATTTAATCACTCCTGCAATATCAACATTTTGGTTTGGTTTGCAAAGCTAATCATTATGATGGTTATTATGTAATTACATGCAATTTTTCAGTATAATTAAAATACATAGATGTTTCCTTGGAAGCTGCAACCACCTTAGGCAAGTCACATTAAAAAAAAGCCTGATCAGATTTGCCCAGGCAAAGTGGGAACACTGTCAAAACTGTTCAACTTTCTTCCACATTTTGTCTGTTCAGGTCCCTAGAAGGCAATTCTAGTTCAAACTCTGAGAACCTTTCTGATACATAAAAAATAATAATTAAAAGTGGTATATTTATTTATTTATTTTATTATTTTATTTTATTTGTCAGTTGCTTACAAGATAATAGGTATAAGTAAAAACATAGTTATGAATACATGGATACATATAAGAAAAATAAAAAAAAATATAAAAGAAACAATAGGACAAGGACGGTAGGCACATTGGTGCGCTTATGCATGCCCCCTACAGACCTCTTAAGAAAGGTGTGAGGAAAATAGTAGACAGTCTAAGGTTAAAGTTTTTGGGATTTAGGGGAAAAAAAACCACAGTCAGGTAGAGTATTCCAACATTGACCACTCTGTTGCTGAAGTCGTATTTCCTGCAATCAAGTTTGGTGAGATTAACCTTGAGTTTGTATCTATTGTTTGCTCTTATGTTGTTATGGTTGAAGCTGAAGGGTTCATTGATAGGTAGGACATTGCAATGTATGATTTTATATACTATACTTAAATCGGACCGAAGGCGGCATAGTTCTAGGTTTTCTAGGTCTAGAATTTTGAGTCTGGTGGCATAAGGTATTCTGCAATGAGTAGAGGAGTGGAGAACTCTTTTTGTGAAATATTTCTGGACTTTCTCAACTGTGTTAATATCAGATATGTAATGTGGGTTCCAGACTGATGAGCTGTATTCGAGTATTGGTCTAGCAAATGTTTTGTATGCTCTAGTTAGTAGTGTGATATTACTAGAGAAAAAGCTACGTAGGATTAGGTTAACAACTCTTAGTGCCTTTTTGGCTATGTAGTTACAGTGGGCTCTAGCACTTAGGTCATTTGAGATGAGTACTCCAGAGTTTGGATCATCAACAAGGTCTTGACTATTCAGCCTGTATTTTATTTTCTGATTTTTTTTTGCCAATATGTAAGGCAGAGCATTTATTTGTTGAGATTTGAAGTTGCCATTTGTTTGACCATTCTGACACATAGTTGAGGTCTTTTTGAAGGGTAGCAGTATTGTCTGTGGTGTTGAATAGCTTTACATCATCAGCGAAGAGAACACAGTTGCTCTTGATATGATCACAGAGGTCATTTATGTAGAGATGAAGAGAGTTGGTCCTAGAACACTGCCTTGGGGGACACCACTGTTGACAGGTACAGAATTTGATAGGATGCTCCCAATTTTGACCATTTGTTGTCTGTAAGATTTTAGTTTTAGGAGTAGTTTGTTGTGTACCACTGATTATTTCTTATCCAACTGTGACATCAGTGAAATTTGTGTAGAGGGATTTGTTTTATTTGTGTTGTAAGAATAACTTGGACTCATTTACCATTTTAAGGGACTGTAGCAGTGCAACGTTTAAAGCCCACTGGTTTACATTTCTGTTCTGCATGTTTCTTGTCTGGGGAACTGTTCCGTCATAATGTATTGAATACTGTTAAGCCATTTTCTAGATGGCCTATAAATGTTTAGGTATAGTAAGACAGATTAACTGATTAATGGTTGTATAGGGACATATATTATAGTCAGGAAACATAGCAATATAGTTTTCAATAAATATCACATTATTTTTTATACTCAGGCATAAGGATGGAAACCTGAACAGTTTGGGTTCAGGTTTCCAATAATTAGTCTGTTATGTCAGATTTCTTCAATTGAGGATCCCTACTTCTCTTAGGTCATTTGGATATTGCTTGATCACAACTAGGAGTTACTCAGGAATTAAGTCAGCAAAAAGGATAGTAGTCTTTGGTGTGTTTTTTCAGATTTGAATCTTTTTAAAGTCACAATAGGTATTTACAGAATCACTGTTTAGTAATATAGTTAGTGATAATGCATATTTAAAATATTTGCAAACCCAAATTATTTCTCATCTCTTTAATTTCTTTTGGTAAGTACAGGAATTGCTTGGATACCCATATAAATTATATGGCTGAAATTCCCCAGCCTTGATGAGGTGTTGTCAGTTAAGGCAATCATTCTTAACTAATAGATCAGTGAAATTAAGAATCATTAACTTAAAATTGACAATGCTTTCCTGTATCCCAATTATTAGATAGCATACACAGTAGAATGTTATGAAACTTCTTACCTAGCTGCACATTTACACTTTATTGTTTTCTAAATGGAATATGCAAGAAGTACCTTTCTATCTTTCAAGATTCCACAGGTCCTGTATTAATTATAGATTCAGATAAGCCAAAAGCTAATTTATTGAACCAACAGGATAGCTTTTTTATTATGTCACTCACAAACAGACGTTGGTTCAGATTTCCAAGTCATGAGTACCTGTAGATTGCTATATAAAATTACTTAATGTTTACTCTTTCAAGAAAAAGCGTTCCTAAATTGGTATTTCAGGGAATTAATGTTTTTCAACACATCTCTATCAAGCAATGTAATAGTGTGTGAGCAGAAATACTGGTTTAGTTTGTTGTATTTCTCAGTTAAATCATCAGTTATCATTCTTGTCTTCTGCTTATCCTTGTCCCACAGTCAAAATTAATTATATCTGCTTAATATAAGTAGGATTTAAATAGATTCAAGTGGGAGAATCTTAAAATTTTCACAAAGCCTTTCAGAGGTAATCGCAGGGATTCAGTTCCCATAGACAGGTGCATTTATGTTGGAGTTGCCATTGAAATGATGAATTGTCTGTATAGATGTTCAAGAAACAGGATTTTTGAAAGAGTGATTATTTTGTTTCCTATTTGTCCCAGAAATGAATCCAGAAATACCAAAAACACTTTTGCTAGGCATCCTACAATTGTTTCCTACAATGCTCTTTTGCCACTCTTCTCAAAGATCTGCATTGCCAGTACTTGAGGCTCTAGGAACTTCATACAACGGTAGAACATTTGAAAACAAGTTTGGAAATTAAATGTTTTATTGTTGCTTTCTGTCCATGGGAAATTATGTAACATCATAGAGATCCAGCCAGCAAATTAACCAGCCTATAGTATAGTCCATCCATTTATGAATTTTACACACTAAAATAACAGAAAAACAGAGTTGGAAGGGGCCTTGGAGGTCTTCCAGTCTAACCTCTGTTCAAGCTAGAAACCCTATACCATTTCAGACAAATGGTTATCCAATCTCTTCTTAATTTCCAGTGTTGGAGCACCCACATTTTCTTTAGGTAAACAGCTCCACTGATTAATTTTTCTAACTGAAGATATTTCTACTTAGTTCTAGGTTGGTTCTCTCCTTGATCAATTTCCATACATTGCTTCTTGTCCTGCCTTCTGGTGCTTTGGAAAATAGGTTGACCCCCTCTTCTTTGTGGCAGCCCTTAGATATTGAAATACTGCTATATCTGCCCTGGTCTTTTTCATTAAACTAGACATACCCAGTTATGTTTTATCCTCAGTCCCTAATCATCTTTGTTGCTCTTTACTCTAAACTCTTTCCAGAGTCTCAACATCTTTTATATCATGGTGATCAAAACTGATGCAATATTGCAAGTGTAGTCTTACCAAAGTATTATAAAATGGTATTAACACTTTGCATGATCTTGTTTCTATACCTTTGTTAATACAGCCTAGGACTGTGTTGGCTTTTTTGGTAATTGCAGCACATTGCTGGTTCACATGGTATTTAAGTGATTGTCCACTAGGACTCCAAGATGCCTCTCGCAGTCACTACTATTGAGCCAGGTACCATCTATTCTGTATCTATGCATTTGGTTTATCTTGCCTAAATATAGAACTTTACTTCTATCACCATTGAATTTCATTTTGTTAGATAGGGTCCAATATTCAAGTCTGTCAAGATCGTTCTGCATCTTGAGCCTATCTTCTGGAATATTAGCTATTCCTACCAGCTTGGTGTCATCTGTAAATTTGATGAATTCTCCTTCTATACCCTTGTCTAAATAATACTAAATATAGTATATAAATAAAAATAAAATTATTTAAAAGAATCAGAGGTAAAAATTTAAAACAATAAAGTGATAGTTGTTCAGATATTATTGCGGAAAGGCAGTTCTCTCAAGTACCCATATCCTGAACCACATAGAGCTTTATAGCTAAAAACCAGCATTTAGAAACCTACTGAAAGCCAGTGTAGTTTCCGCAGGACAGTGTCACTTAGATGCACACAACTTCCACTGTGTTCTGAACTAGTTGAAGTTTCCACTTGGTCTTCAGGACAGCCCTATGTAGAGTGAACTACTCTTATTTTTAATAATTTTATTAAGAGATGATAAGTGTATGAGTGACCTTTTTCAGTGCATCTTGTTTCAGCTGGCGGCACTTAGGACACTGGCTCAAGCTATTAAAAGGTAATGGTCCTATCTGATATTTTGAGAAGGAACCTACTCTATCATAAGCCACAAATGGTAGTATTGGAATCAGCCCCGGAATCAACCATCACTCCACCTTGTTTGGGTTGTGTCAATTTGTTTTCCTCATTGAAACCCAATCCGCCACTAGACACTTGGTCATTTCTATTCTATCTCTTAGTAGGCCAAGGGTGTAACTGAGTATCATTTGTGTATTGATATTTCACCCTCAACCAAAAAGAATCTCTCCAGTAATTTTATGTGGATCTTAAACAGGGGAAAAAAGACTGAACTGAGATACTCATAACCAAATGAAGGTGGATATAACTTATCACCTGATAACCATTTTATTACACCCATTTACTGTGTTTCCCATTTTCTTTTTTCCAAACCAAGCTTAGGACATGACCTCAAACCCCTCTTTGTCAGCCTCCCCTGAACCTGCTTGTATCTTCAGCAGTAGTCTCCAGAACAATAAAGACTTCACACATTTTTATTACTTTAAAAAAAATTGAGGCCAAAGGCTCAAAAGACCATGTGTACAATACCTTTTCTCAACTCTTCTAAGCCATCAAGGATACAAGTATCCTTGGCAGTCCTTATTGCTATTGCAACCCCAGGATTGTACACACTGTTAAGTGGGAAGAGACAGGAGTCCCAGGCAGAGAGTAGAGGATTGCATGGATACCATACTACACTACAGAGAATGATCTACACCTCTACTCTGTGTTGTAGGGGGTAGGATATCACAGGCAGGTACTAAAGAGTGCAGGCAGGTTGGCAGAACCTGTAAGTGGCTTGGTGAGGACTGCAAGCCAGGTTGGCAGAGATTGATGGCAGGTGTTATAAAGCATGGGGTTAGTCAGGAGAAAAAAATAGCAGAAGCAACTTAACAGAGCAATTTGCAACTTACCCTACTGGATTTTCCATTGATTTTGCTTGTGGGAAGCCAACAGGAAAGGTTGCAAATGGCCATCCTGATCGTGGGACGCTGCAACTATTGTGTGAGCTGATTGCCAAGCATCCAAATCATGATATGACCTCAGGGGTGTTGCAATGGCTGGAACTTCGAGGACTGGTTTCAAGTACTACTTGTTCAGCACTAACATGACTTTGAACAGTTGCTGAACAAATGGTCATAATCCAAAGGCTGCCTGTAGTCAACAGTATTAAAAGCAGCTGAAAAAACATCTAGGGGGATGATCATACCACTTCCATCCAAGCCCCTCCATAGGTCAACAATGAGTAATTAATGTAGTTTCTGTCCCATGCTCAGGTTTGAATCCAGACTGTCAAGGTTCTAAATAATTTCTGGCATTTTCCCATCTCTCAGAGACACATTGGCTTTAGCCGAGATTGGATTTGCAGTCCCTGTCAGTTTAATTAGCCAGCTAGGATTAGGGGTCCAATCTATAAGTGGCAGAACTAAGTAAGATTACACAGAACTCAGTACTTAACTTGAGTCTACAATACTTGAGGTTTGAAAGCCTCCCAAGTGACATAATACATCACCTCTACCATGGCAATAGATTCAGCCAGATATTAATTCAGAGTAAATATTTTATCCACAAAAGGCTTATATTAAATTAAATTAGTCTTAATACATTAAGGCCAAGGAAATGTATTTATATTTTAAATATTAATGTTTTAAAATATAAGATGCTATCCATTTAATTGTGTCCAATTCTGTGGACTAGCTCTCTCCATATTCTTCATGCTGTATGGTTTCTTTCAGTTGTTTTAGGTTCTAGCTCATTGACTTTGATGATATCTAGCCAACATGTTTTTTGGTAGCCTTTTTCCCTTGTACCACCAACCATTCTGAGCATAACTGCCTTTTCCAGTGAGTTTGAATATATGGCATGGCTGAAATAAGACAAAATTTAATGATTTTGCCTCCCAGCAATATGCATGGGTTTATACGCTCCAGTACTTGTCATCTTTGTGGACCAAGGAATGAGCTCTCTCCAATACCACAGCTCAAATAGATTTTTCTCCCATCTGCCTTGTTCATGGCCCGACTTTCACAACTCTAGGTAGCCATAAGTAACACAATACAGATAGTCCTTTATTTACAACCAGAATTGAACCCAAAATTTATGTTGCTAAGTGAGACATTTTTGAGTTTTGTCCATTTTATGATTTTTTTTGCCAGTTGTTAAGTGGCTGCACCTGTTAAATTAGTAACACGGTTGTTAATAAATCTAATTTTTCCATTGACTTTGCTTATCAGGTCACAAAAGGTCACTGCAATCATCCTAAATGAGTCAGTTGACTCACATGACCATGGGGATACTGTAGTGATCATAAATGTGAAAAACAGCATAACTCACTTTTTCAGTGTTGTTATAACTTTGAATAGTCACGAAACAAACTGTTGTAAATCGAGGACTATCGTGTAGACCATGGGTGTCAAACTCGCCGTGTCACATTGCCGTCACATGATGTATTGTGACGTTTTTTTCCCCTTCACAGAGCTGGGGTGGGCATGGCCTGTGCATGACGCATCCAGCCCACGGGCCTCAGTTTGACATCCCTGGTGTAGACTAACCTACATTTGGTTGCCAAACCAATGTCTTTTCCATACTTGATACATTTAAAATATGTATATGTATATATTTAATATATTCTGGAGTGATAGGTTTATTTTTATCATATATAACAAAGATGTCTTTATCTGGCTGGCCTCTTTCAAAAAGGAATTGTTCCCTTTTATTTTTTAAAACTTCTGATTTTGATAGGAAATGATCAATGGCCATTGTTTCCCTGAAAGGAAAAGGCTGAAAGGAAATTAATACTGGAGGAGAGGAACGGAGAGAATGAAAACTTAGCAGCCTTTTTCAGAAGACAGGTACACCAGAGCTTGATAGCCAGACACCAGTTTTATTGGACAGTATGAAATACAGGGCTGAGTGTTGGTTCAGCTAAATCTAAATTAGAGCTGAGTGTCAAAATAAACTCATATACTCCCTCCCTGGCACCGCTGTGGAAGAACTCTGAATTTTTTGTATTCAGCGTGGATAAGTCAAAATTTGTTTTACTGTCTGAAATGAAGCAAACCATGGTTAGTCTTAGCAATTAATAGGTAAGCTAAAAAACTGAACTTGAAACATAACTTTTAAATTGTTTCCACTTACTTATTCAAATTAATCAGTTTAGGATTCAAATGAGACAAAATGCAACTAATATATAACAAAATTAGGATATGCCTTGAATATTTGTAATATTAATCTTAATTCTCTAAACACTAATATGAAAATAGGTTTAATTGTATTCCATATCTGCCGCATCTAAGAAGTTACCCAAAGGGCAAGGTTCTGAACTAGTCCTCAGCTTTTACACAGATTCATATTTAGGAAACTGATTTATTAGAATTATTAAAATGTATATACAGCTTCAGGCAGAATAGTTTTTATAACATGGCACCAAAGATATATACTCAGAAAAATATTTGAATATTTAAATGTACTCAAGAGAAACAACTAGGACATAAATTATTATTTTCATGTTTAGCTTGAATAGTAGTTATGCACATTATTTAACTTTACAATATGTTAAAATTAAATCAATATTAAATTCTGTAGGACAAAATTGAAAGACAAAAAGGACAAGTATAAAAAGTGGAAAGAGGGGCAAATAACTAAGGCAGAATACCAGCAAATGGCCCAAGCCTGTAAAGATGAAGTGAGGAAAGCTAAGGCTCACAATGAACAAAGGCTTGCAACAAAAGTAAAAAATAATTTTAAAGAAGCTTCTTCCAACATGTTAAAAACAAGAAAAAAGTCAAGGAAACAATTGGTCCATTGCTGGGAGAAAATGACAAGAAGGTGACAAGCAACAGGGAGAAAACAGAACTACTTAACTCATTTTTTTACATCTGTCTTTACACAAAGTGAAAAAACAGCCCAACCTATCAAAAACAGCATAAAAAAACAGGTTAGAAACACAAGTTAAAATAGGGAAGAAAATGTTAAGTGAACACCTGCCTACCCTAGACGAGTTCAAATCACCAGGACCGGATGGATTACACCCCAAAGTTCTGAAGGAACTGGCAGATGAGATCTCAGAACCACTGAACCACTTTCAAAGATCCTGGAGCATTGGGGAACTGCCAGAGGACTGGAAAAGAGCTGATATGGTTCCCATCTTCAAAAAGGAAAAAAAAATAGAACCAAAAAACTACAGGTCTAGCAGCCTGACCAGGGAAGACCAGGGAAGATTCTGGAAAAGGTAATCAAGCAACGAATCAGCGAACACCTAGAAGCAAACAAAGTAATAACCAAACGCCAACATGAATTTGTTAAAAACAGATCATGCCAGATCATTGCATTCTTTGACAAAGTGACAAAATTAGTTGACCAGAGGAATGCTGTCAATATAATTTACTTGGACTTTAGTAAGGCATTTGATAAAGTAGACCATAACCTACTACTAGATAAAGTAGAAAAATGTGGGTTAGAAAGCATCACTACCAGATGGATTCATAACTGGCTCAGCGTGTAGTCCTCAATGGAACTGCATCTACATGGATGGAAGTAAGCAGTGGAGTACCCCAAGGCCTAGTACTCTTCAACATCTTCACCAATAACTTGGACAAGGGGATGGATTGGGAACTCATCAAATTTGCAGATAACACCAAGCTGGCAGGAATAGCCAACACTCCAGAAGATAAGCTTAAGATACAGAAGGATCTTGACAGACTTAAACATTGGGCGCTATCTAACAAAATGAAATTCAATAGTGAAGAAAGTAAGGTTCTACATTTAGGCAAGAAAAATCAAATGCACAGATACAGTATATGTGGTACCTTGCTCAATAGTAGTAACTGTGAGAGGGATCTCGGAGTCCTAGTGGACAACCATTTAAACATGAGCCAGCAGTGTGCAGCAGCTGCCAAAAAAGCCAACACAGTTCTAGGCTGCATAAACAGAGGGATAGAATCAAGATCATGTGAAGTGTTAATACCACTTTATAATGCCTTTGTAAGGCCACACTTGGAATACTTTATCCAGTTTTGGTTGCCACGATCTAAAAAGGATGTTGAGACTATAGAAAGAGTGCACAGAAGAGCAACAAAGATGATTAGGGGACTGGAAGCTACAGCATATAAAGAATGGTTGCTGGAACTGGGTATGTCTAGTCTGATGAAAGGAAGGACTGAGGTGACATGATAGTAGTGTTCCAATATCTCAGGGGCTGCCACAAAGAAGAGGGAGTCAAGCTATTCACCAAAGCACCTAAGGGCAGGACAAGAAGCAATGGGTGGAAACTAATCAAGGAGAGAAGCAACTTAGAACTAAGGAGAAATTTCCTGACAGTTAGAACAATTAATCAGTGGAACAACTTGCCTTGTAAATGCTCCAACACTGGAAGTTTTTAAAAAGATGTTAGATAACTATTTGTCTGAAGTGGTGTAGGGTTTCCTGCCTAGACAGGGGATTGGACTAGAAGACCTCCAATGTCCCTTCCAACTCTGTTATTCTATTCTATTCTATTCTATTCTATTCTATTCTATTCTATTCTATTCCTATTTCTATTCTAAAATGACAGCAATGGAAGAACTTTCTAAAGCACTGAAAAGGGCTTACTTAAGATCTTTTACATGTCAGAGGTGACATTAGCTGAATGAATTCCTAGCAAAAGGAATGTCTGGGTGACTTCTTTATTTATAGTTCAGTCACTATGCTATAACAAGGAAAAATATTCTAAATACAATATTTAGTATTCATTTATTTGATCAATTTTGATGTAAACATTATTTTAGCTCAGAATTTGGTAACTAGTGTAAGTTTTGAATATTCTAATGACATTATCAAAACACAATTGAGGTTCAAAATTTTTACACTGTTGATTCTTTTAGGTATTATAAACCTTTAGACAAATCTTAAAAGCATGTTAATTTGAAGCACTTCAAAACATCCTGTATTGAACAATAGAAATATTCTTTTCAAGGTCCGATCAAAAGTGCAAGAAATAAAATGATTGATTTCTTATTACACTATATTTTCACTTTATTTTATTACCCTGATAGTGTTAACATTGGACATTCAACAGACATCTATATTTCATTAGCTTTTTGGTATGATGTTACAAGGTGGAATCAAGAAATTTTCTTTGGTTCACTTAGGTCAGGTCTGTCAAACTCCCAGCCTGTTGGGTGGATGTGTCACATGGTAGCCACACTCATGCCATTTAGCAAAAGGGAAAAAAGTTTTGATACGTCACATGCTGCCATGACTTTGATACCCGACCTAAGCTATAGGTTAACTGACTGTTCTACACACATGTGCTTCAATACTATTTTATGACATGTTTGAAGTTAGTTGACATTCCTCATTTCTGATTTAGTCTCTGATTAAGGTTTTTAGCATTAGTTTTTCGATTGCACACTGTGTGACATGAACCTTTTATACATCTAATTTATATATCCAATAATTTATATATCCTACAATAGAGATCCATTAACAGCAATAGCATTTAGACTTATATACTGCTTTACAGCCCTCTCTAAGTGGTTTAGAGTCAGCATTTTGGGTCCTCATTTTACCTAACTCAGAAGGATGGAAGGCTGTCAACCTGGAGCCTGGTGAGATTTGAACTGCCAAATTGCAGGCAGACGACAGCAGAAGTAGCCTGCAGTACTGCACTCTAACCACTGTGCATCCATCTAGTGAGGTCAGGAAGAGGAGGTAGGTTCCAGGTTCCATCAATCAAACATTGTATCTTCCTAATGACAACCTTCTAATCCTTTGAAATGACATCCTCAGAGGGGTCTATACTACTTCCTCTTAGTGACTTTATGTAAATTGTTGAAAGCTGGATTGTTTTCCCAGACCATGGACAGAGTCTGTATAATATGGTAAGCTACATTCTTATTTGACCGTATATTGTTTTCTTGTAATTATAGGCTTCCCAAAGTTACTGAGGAATTGTGGACTCTCAAAATTTAATTTATTTAAATACTGGTAGTAAATTTATTATATTAGAAACATACATGGTAATATTTTGTAACGAAAGCTACTGGATTCTACCAGACTCTCAATTCTACAAAAATATTCCACAACATGCACTTTTACAGCATTTTATATTATTCTGTTTCTGCCCATTCATTACTCAGCTAAATCTTTCCCAACAGTATTTTGATTTCAAAATGTTTTTAATAAAAGTTTTTATCTTAAATAAAGATACACAACAAATAATCTTTTCTTTACAAATCACCATGTTCTTTTTCTTTCACTTGCTAGGTGTAGATGGTGGAACCCACTCTTGTATCTTCTTACGTGTTGTAGAGTATGGTACATATTGTTTAGAAGTACCACTTTCATTCATTTTATGATTTTGGAAAATGAATTTACGACTCACTGGTGGATGTGTAGTTGGGGGCTCTTCTGTCATACAGTGAATCCAACGATGCCTTGTAAAGAAAAATACAATAAAAAAGATTTCTTAAGGACATATATTTGCACACAAAGATTCACATCAAATTATGTTTTATGGGAAACAGTTATACTACCTAAAACATCAAAAATAGTTACATTTAAAAAATTATGCAGACTTATCAGTTAAATTTTATATTTAATAAATTTGAAGTCATGGAAATTAAATATAGTTGTCAAAAAACAGAGAGCAATTTCTCATCATTCAATAACTTGACAAAGCTAAGGCTACAAGATTTGAGCTGCAAATGCTACTTAGTTTTATAGACCTTTCTGCTGCCAATGAATGGTAATCAGGAGTTTTGAAGTACAGATGCAGTAGTCCAAGAGAAACTTATGCTTATGACAAGCTGACTAAATAAAAATATGATGAAAGCAAATATGAGCATAGTCTGAAAAATACGGTAATTTGTATGCCACCCATCTTGCCAGAAGCACTTTTAGGCAATCTACATACATTCAATTAAAATGTACTAAAACATTAAAACAATAAATAAGGATCATAAATTTAAAATCCAATTAAAATAAAATTAACTAAGATGGAGAGGAAGGGAACAAAGTGTGCACAGGTAAGGAGTGGGGTGTTATTGTGGTAAATTAGCATAATTATTATGGCAATTGTTTGGACTATTGGCTCTCTCTCTCTCTCTCTCCTTCATATGTAATATTGTTTTTGGTTCTATCAAACTTTTTGTGACATTTTTTTTCAGATTTTATCACAATGAAATACCCAATAAGGCCATTTAATTTTTCCTCAGAATGCTACCAATCACTCTACAAGTACATAAAACAAAATTCCAAAGACACTGGTCAATTTCCAGTAATAAATATGCATTTATAGTGATGTTTGAACCTAACACTTTCACTGATCTGAAGTAATGATTCATAATGATACATTTGCTGGTAAAGTGTTAGAGATTGAGGTATAGTTTAAAAGACTCTAATTAATTTACTTTATAAACAGAATTGTTCTAAGCTACCTGTTCTACAAGTTAATAAAAACATAAATAAATGTATGTATCAAACTATCTGATTTACCATTCAGGAGGTATCATGCTTCCATCTAAATCCCAGTATGTGTTCCTGCCATCCATTTCTGCAGTATATATGACCCACCTATGACGACCTAAAAGATAACCATTTTAAAAAGTATATCAGAATTTTTAAATGATGAGTCTATGTATGCTATTTTATTAATTACAAAGTAATTCTCTTACAGTTACACAAAATCAAGTTTTGTGGTCATCTATATTTCTATTCTCAATTTTGAGAAGGACTAGCTTGACATATGGAAAGAAACAGGATAATTAGAAACCAAAAATATCATTCACATATACAGGTTGTTTTTTAAATCGAAGAATGCAGGACAACATATGTAACTTTGCTATGACTTACCGGAAACCAATTTAGTTTACAATTTAAATAACTATTATATTTGGGAGGGGGGGACTTCTAATGGTAAAATTTCAAATGGAATTACAAGCACAAATACCTATTGGTTTTCTATAAGATAAACTACTTGTTTATACTTCTAATTTACCATTTTCAGATTTACAAATCTGGAGCTTTAAAATTAAATTTCTCTTAACAGTGTTATTTGTATGAGAAATATAAAGTACAATATTTTGCAATACTAAGGAACCCATGATCAATATAATCATTATGTATGAATTATTCTTCTAATTAAATTATGGGTCTGTGTCTCCCTGATTGTTTCTACCCTTTCTATTTGATCCCACAGGAAAGGCATGTTGTGGATTCCATAGGCTAAGTAGTCTCAGCAGGTAGAACCCAAACAAGACCCCTTTCTGCTTCTGGAACATCTTGAGATTTGGTTCATCCGCATTCTGTGGGCCTTTCTTGAAGATCCGATTCAATATCTAAATCTGCCCCCCTCCCTCATGTGTGATCAAGTTTCCTGACTATGTTGAACATCTTTTGTGATTCTTCAACTGCCACACATTTTGATTCATTTTAAAGTTTATTTTAGTAATTGTATATATATTTTTACTTATTTTAAAATTATAGGTTGTCTAGAATCAGCATGTGAGATAGGCAGCCATTAAGACACTAACATTGTTTATTTTTTCTATGCATAAACTTTTTTTTAAAGTAAAATTACTTTTTAAAGCTAAAATGCCAGAAAAGAAAGATCAGCATCCAAAAGACTGAATACTATTTAACCCATTTTTAAATATCTTTATTTGAGCAAAAATCCAAGTTTCTGTTGTGGCATAGTGACTTCTTATTGCTATTGGCTTTTCCTATTTAACATCAAATTGAATTATATCCACATAAGACATAAGAAAAAACAATACTTTTATTGTTGGTAAATATGTTAAATAATCCAAATTCTTTAGAAGAATAAACTCAGATAATCCATACATCCTTACTTACCAAAAAAGGATCTTTTGTCTTCATAGTATTTGTTTCCATATTTATCAGTCCCGACTAGGGTACCAACCTTCAGATCATTGACCCTGTGAATGTCCAAAATAAGATAAAATCTTCAAGGGGTTTATAGTTATGTGACAGTCTACAGGCTTTGCATGCAGAAGGTCTTGAATTTAACCTCTGCCATCTTCAAATAAATTGTGAAAATCTCTATCTAAAAGCCTGGAGATCACCATTAAATAAATAATGCAAAACTACTGTATAAGGTAGCTTTGGTTGGTTTTACCTTTCAAATATCTTATTAGGGCAATCAAATGGATAAGAATTTGTTTTCAGTTGCTGCTACAAATAAATAAAACTAGGGGAAGGTGAAAATAATAATGTCCCCTATATATTACTTTAATATTATTTATTACATTCTTAAAGTTTACAAATAACACTGCAGAAGTATTATTTCTACCTAACTTGCTTGCAGCTAGACAAGTTATCTGCCAAATGAGTTCACTCAAAATAGTGTTTTGGGTAGCAGCCTGAAAAATTATTCCCAAATAATTTTAATTAATTATCTGTTCTCTAAGTGACTAAACCACCTCGGCTGTATTACTTAAACTATTGCTATCCCTTCCTTTAGCACAGCACCGGTGAAACTACGAGCGCAGATGTCTTTCTTAGTCCAGTTACAGTAACCTTGTTAAAAAGCAAGGTCGAGAGGCAAGGACCAGCTCAAGTCAAGAGCTAGGCCAGAATGACTGAATGCAATCGGGACATCCCAAACCTTGGACGGCGCCATAAACAGAGCCCCGTCCTTTCGCAGGGATTACGCCCCAGTCAAGAATAGCACAAAGTTAGAGAAATCTTCTCAAAAGTGATCTTCCCAACAACAGGCTTTGCAGCCACTATAAGGTCGCTCTAATTCCCATCTCGAGAGATGCCCGCTCCGGACATCAAAGGTCAGCTTTCCTTCGGCCCTTTTCTGCTTAACTCACGAATTTTTGGAAATACTCTTTCCTCTAACGATCCTCCGAGGGTCATGTCATTCAACCCTGCGAGACGCAGTTTCCAGCAAGGCATTCCCCAGCAGGGAAGGACCGGGCGCCCTCGTTCCTCATGTTAACGCAACCATCTCATTTCACCTGAGCAGTTGCCACATAACGCCACGAACGCCGCCATGTCCACCGAGCTGTTGCAACGCCCTCTTCATCACCTGCACATATTCCGCCATTTTCCCTATTCTCGTGGAGCTCCGCCCCTCCTTACTCGTTTCTGCGCCTGCGTCGCAGCTCCTTGATTTTTGCAGGTTCAAACAAGGGAAACTGCTCCGCTTCGCTCAGCTTGCGAAAGGCGATATTTTCAATTTTAACGCATAATTTAGAGCATAGCAATTAATTTGCGTGACAAAATTGAACATGAAAAGAATAACATTTAAACCATATGGAAATATAACTTTTATCTTGCCATTTTATAACATTTTCAGTTTTAGTATTACCCAACGTGTATCAGACTCAGATTATTTTTTCTGTTGTGCTTTCAAACTTGGTACAGTCTCTTAAAACAGGAAACCAAACTCAATTGTATAGAAACGGAGAAAGTAAACAGATAAGCAATAAACAACTGGAAAAACCCTAATGAAGAGTCAGTGTGATCATTCACATTAAATTTCAGAAAAATATTAAACACAAATTACTGTATATTGAACTGTAATATTGATGTATAATTTGTCTAAACTTTCTTTAAATAATGCAATTAACAGGATTCTATAATAAAAGTTACAGTTTATTTTTTAAAAAATACAGGCAAAATAGAATTTACACTTCTTTAAGTTTAAGGACATTTACAACAGTATATTACACAATAAGGTAGTAATTGGGACATTATGATGTGTACATTACAAGCGAATCACTAAAACGAATAAAAAATTGGAATGGAATTCAGAAGCAATTTCTATTGACTGCAGAACAGATTTACAGACACCATTTAGGGAGGTGTGCAATTCAAATGATTTTTAAATATGCTTTAAAACAGGACAACTTATATATGTAAGATGTTGCCAAAATACATCAAAAGCTACCACAACTGTAGATATGATTAATTTCTGCATGTGCCCAAGTATATGCATATATTTTGTGTGCATAAAAAATTAACTATTCATTATTATTAGGTGTTCCATTATGAAATATATAAAAGATATCCCTTTGTAGTCAAATAATTTTTAAAACCTTGAAGTAAATAATCTTATCTGTCACACACTACATAAACTCCTTTTTATTAATTAGTAGAGCCCATAATTTGATAAAAGTGGTTCTATTGCTGATTAAGAATATCTAAAGTAAGGGTGAATTGTATCATCACTGTATCAGTATCCCCTGATATAGTAATATATTGAATTAATGCTCAACTACCTTTACTAAACAACTAAGGAAAAACGCACTTTTAATAAATCTGAAAAGTGCATTTGGAAAAGTTTTCAAAAGCTGAAAATACAAAGCAGCAAATTCAAACATGGAAACATAAAATATGAAATAGGATTCTAGTGCAATCACTGCTATTTAGGAACAACATGCCATTTAGTATGCAATACATATATTTCATCAAGGTTTATTCACTTACTGCCTTTTCAGATTATTTTTTCTAATTTTATCTGAATTCTTTTATGAAAACCTGGAACTTAAACCTTAAAGTTTTAAGAACATAGAGAAAATGAAAGTTGGGAGAAGAGTTTTTCCACAGATTAAAGTCTTAAACCTTTAAGGTTTAAGTTGGTAATTTTTATCAATAAAAGTGATAATTTCATTCAGTAGTGTAATTCTAATAGTGGAATAGCATCGATCTGTGGAAAAACTCTTCTCCCATCTTTCATTTTCTCTATGTTCTTCCCAAATTTGCTCCAGGTTTAAGATAAGGGAGCAAACCTGGGATGCACATAAGGACTGAGGAAAATTACAATGTGCAAGCTTCATTGCTCACATAACACTGGATGTGGCTGAATGTGTTGTTTCACAGAGTTGCATACAATGAAATTCAATATATTTCTCCAAATTTACCTAGATACATGTGCTTAAACATTATTCAAGCACAATCACAATGGCAAATGATTTTGCATGTATAAATAACAGGAGTTAGGAATAACAATTTTGATGTGATTAAAATATCTAGGATTATGTTTACTCTGAAATCTTGGCAACTGATAAATAACTTTGAACATAACAATTATTTGTACTTCAAATTAATCTAAGTACTGCAAAAGATGTAATCACTGATTTGGAACGCTAACATGAGATAAAGCCCTGTTTTAAGTAATTCCAAAATCACCTGTTTCTGAATAAAAAATTAACTTCTGAAAAAAGTAGCTGAGTTATCCAGAATTGAAACTCTGTCTCAGAAATGGAAGCAGAAAGGAAACTGACAAAAGTAAACTTGTAGAAACAAGATACTGAATCCAGAACACTTGGAGAAGAAATTTATTTGTCCTAGTATCAGGTTGAAATGTTTATTTGAAGCTTCTCTTTATCAAAGGTTAACATGTGTATTTGCTTGAAGTTCACAAGTTCCATGTATAGCTAAGCTACAAAAATAGGATGAACTACACTTCTTGATTTTCACTAATTATGAGAAATGTACAAAGTTCTTGAAAATCAGATAAAAGGTAAGTCATCCTGTACCAGTGAAGATATTCCATTGTGTTTTCCAAATGAATTGCTAAAGAAGAATTAGCACCTTCCTTTATTTTTTGTGCTATGCCTTCACAGGAAAACTTTTTTTTATCTCTTGGAGATAATGTACATTTAAATCACCACGATTGCCATGGTATAGAAACTGGTTTATTATTTTTTTTATATAGTATGACCAATTATTTGAGAGTTATAGTCTGCAGTCTCCATTCGTAGAATATATGGTATGATACTGTCAATCTGAACATTTCCAATTAGTCCTGCAAAAAACAGTTCTTCTGTGATAGCTGCACTCATCAGTCTTAAGGCCGGCAATCTGAGAAGTAGCCTAGAGAGCCTGGAAGACAGATTTGACAAACAGTGGCACACTTTTACATGTATAGACGAGACTGATTCTTTAATACCAACAAATATTAGCAAACAAAAAGTAGTTTTTCAGCAATAAATGCTAAATCAAGCATTATTCATATTTTTCATGATACAATCCTGTTGGCAACTCAAGCTAAATACCTCATTTCTGAAATTTTTGACAGACACAATATGAGGACCTCCATCCTCCCCACATACTTTACACCAGGGGTCGCCAACCTTTTGGACCTCAGGAACAACCAAACTCATAATTTTAGATCCCAGGGACCACTAACCGGTTCTGTGGGCATGGCCTAATTTGTGGGTGTGGCTTGGTGGTCATGTGACTGGCTGGGCATGGCTTATATGTAAATATTATAAATATTTATATAAATATTGATTTTTTTTATAAAAAAAGACCAACTTTTACCCAAAATCAGGCAAAGTAGGCAGACAGATTGAGTTGCTCACAGAATCAGATTCATTCAGAAATTTATCTATCTGCCATTGGCTAGCTCAGTCTGTCACATAAAATTTGCTTGCAAGCAAACTCAAAAAATTAATTCACAACACACCATGTATGTAAATATTGAATTTTTTATTTAAAAAAGAGCAACTTTTACCCAAAATCAGGCAAAGCAGGCAGATTGAGTTGCTCACAGAATCATTCAGTGATCTATCTATCTGCCATCGGCTAGCTCAGTCTCTCAAATTTGCTTGCAGTGAGTCTGCACTGAATTTGCTTGCAAGCAAACCTTCAGTCCTAAGGGAGGTTCAGCTGTGCTTAAAAGCAGAGCCGAAGACCTAAAGACTAGCTAGAAAGCAAGAAATCCAACCATTTCCTGCTTCCTAGCTAATCTAAATCTCCCAGCACAGCAGAACAGATGATGGTTGGAAAAAGGAAAAATAGAAATTTAGCAGGCAAGTTTACTGGGTAAGGAGTGGGCGGGTGGAGAGGGTTCCTGTGGGCCATGTGGGCGGCGCAGCCTTGTGTTTTTGTGCAGCCTGGATTAATTGCTTTGGAGGGGTGCTCTGGGGGTAAGATTTCTCTGTGGCCCACCAAAATTTTCTCACTGCCCACCAGTGGGCAACCACTGCTCTAAAGCACCATTTTTGCTTTGAATCCAATATCATGAAGAGAACTACAATTGTAATTAAATTGAATATTCTGTGTGGGTAAACTTCACTACTATTATCTATGGATTAGTTTTAGCAGAAAAAGCAATTTGATAAGTTCATTTTTGTCAGTGACCATCTTAAAACAAGATTTAACAGAATCCAGCTACGCATGTATAATTTATATGGATATAAGTAAAATAACACAGAACTACATTTTATTAACACTAAAATAGGAGCTAAAACTAATATTTAAGATTAGGTTAGATTTTTTTTAAAAGAATAAAAAATTAGTTAAAAGTGAACTCTAAAACTAAATGCTTGGTTTATAGTGCAGTAAAATGTTATATAAAATTATATCCAATTATAAAATCTAATACATTAATAAGTGAACAATTGATTATTCATATATGATAATGTTTGAGAGAGCAAACATGAAGATATTATTCAAATAATCTAGAAATCAGTTGTTTGCATAAATTCAGAGTTGTGTGAAATTTTGCTACATTATGTATAATAAAGCTCCATGATTGTATATCTAACAGACTCAACAGCTTATTGTAGCCCTACGTGGCAATGAGACAAGTATGCTACCCTCCTTGCTAGGAAATTTTGATCTTGAATTATTATATTTCATTCATGTAATTTTGCACTAGCTTTTGCAAGTGATTCAGTCCTAAAAACTGTACAAGATCATACAATTAGGCCGAGTAACTTTTTAGTCCATCAGTCTTCCTCCAATAGGAAGCAATTAGATGTCATTGATTAGTTCACTAGCACACTAGATAGTATACTGAGGTTTACAGTATTTATTTGTCAAAAGGAGTAGGGGGTGGCAGTCATGGCCAAGAGGGTCTTTGTGCCAATTGTGTTGTGCACCAGTTGCACCCTTAGCTGGATCTGTACATGGTCCCTCATATTTTAATCATATTCTACATGGAGCTACCCTTGAGTAATTGGAAGCTGCAGCTGATGCAGAATGCAGTAGCATACAACACTTGGAGATCCTAGGACCACAACTGCACATGCTGTGCTGGTTACCTTCGGGATCCAATTCAAGGTGTTGGCTGTTACTTTTAAAGGCCTATATGGCATGGCAGGATATCTAAGGAGCTATGTCTCCCAAATGAGACTAAC